TCACTCTCACTCTCACTCTCACTCTCACTCTCACTCTCACTCTCACTGTCTCTCTCTCTCTCTCATCTCTCTCATCTCTCTCATCTCTCTCATCTCTCTCATCTCTCTCTCATCTCTCTCTCATCTCTCTCTCATCTCTCTCTCATCTCTCTCTCATCTCTCTCTCATCTCTCTCATCTCTCCCTCATCTCTTTCTCATCTCTCTCATATCTCTCTCATCTCTCTCTCCTCTCTCTCTCTCTCTCCTCTCTGTCTCTCGTCTTTCCGTCTCTCTTCTCTCTCTTCTCTCGCAGGAGGATCCGGGCAAAGAACCACATATAAAGGACTCTTCACCCCTGCCTCCAAAAAGAGCGCCGTGTTTTTTCCTACCTCGCTGCCCTCCACTTTCCCATTCTGGAGCGCTAGCTTTCGCCCCCCCCCTTGGCCTCAAGTATATATATTTTTTCATACGTTGAGACCTTTGCAGGACAATCTAGAGGAAGACCTGGTTGGGGATTGAAGAAGCCGCGCTTTACCTGTTCAACATATTCAAGCATGACTCAAACCCATGATCTTGAAGCTTGTTCATCAGCTTTGTGCTCACGCAGGCGGGTGAATGACCTGGAGGCGGAGGAGGCGGGGTGGGAACGTGGTGGAAGGTGCCGGTGGTGAGATTCACCACAGTTGAGTTTCTCACAAGAGAACTCTGACGATCAGATACGATCAACATTCCCAGAACATGTTCACAACGAAAAACCATGGCTATCCACTGTGGTTCACCAGAAAGCCGTGCCAGTAGAACCGGTGAAGAACTGTTTCTTTTCTAAGCATGGGACGCCTGGTGGGATTTTAAGGTGGACAGAATGGGTTTTGCTTTGTGAAAGAATCCTTCGGAGAGCGACTTTGAGCTGGTCCCTCTGCCGCACACCGCAGAGGGAACGCCCGACCGGGGGTTTTCGGCCATCCCGATGCGGCGACAGCGACCGAGCCGAAGACCGAAGACTGGGGGCCGACCGGCATGGGACGGACTCGCTGCGGACTCGCTGCGAGCTCGGTGCGGACGGAAAGGACCCGGGTGGGGGGAACGGTGGTAGGAGATCGGACGGAGATCGAACGGTGGAGATTGGAGTCGATCAGCGAGGACGGCCGAGTGAAGTCAGAGTGGAGTCGACGGAGTTCAGATGTTGATTTCCAGAAAGACGGACGGACTGAGCCTCCTTCGTGGTCAGTCTTCCAGGCCAGATGTCGCCCTCAGTCTTCTGGGAATTTGCAGGCCGGCGGCGGCCTGGGACCAGTTTGCCCCAAAGACTCTGAGGTATGTGACTGTTGAATGAAGAAATGCAACGCTATCTCAGGTGCACCAAAATGCCTGTGCATTGAAATGGGGTGATCCCTCCAGAAATCCAGGGGTCTGCATATTCACACGCCCGTTTTTGTGCTCTTTGGATGTCTGGTGCTCTTCAGCAGAAGGGGTCTCAGCAAGAGGCCGATGACCACCAGCCACTCAGCAGGTTATATGCTGAGAAGCTCACTGTCACTGACAGTACCGATGGGTTTCACCATGTTTCTCATTGGCATGATTTCGGTTCGCCAGGATTCTCCTCCAAAACATGCTGTCACTGGTTTTTGTGCTGGGCTTGATCTGATTCTTGATTCTTGCACCCGAGGTCTCCAAAAGCGGGTTCCCTCCCCACCGCGCACGTCTGTGCTCGTGGTGGGCCGGTGGTGGATCCCACAGCCTTCAATCGAACGATCGTCCTTCGCACAGGGGCCGGAGGTCGCTCCCCTGAAGAATGAACAAGATAGATAGATGACCCCCACTTGTAGAGTATCTGCGAGTAGATAGATGGATGGATGACCCCCACTTGTAGATAGATGACCCCCACTAAAGATGACGATTCGTTATTACTACGGTCGATGTTCATCTTGTGCACTCGATGTTTGTATCTGCGCCATATTCACTATTCATGTGAGTTACCAACCTCTCCCCGTTGGTCGGGCAAGCCTGGACCAGTCGGTGGTCCACACAAACTCCCCCCAAGACATGCCGTCGGAGGCTTCACCCATGGATGAAAACATCAGTCTTGGGATGTGTTGGGAGAATGACTGTATCTCAGGATAAAGTCGAGTTCCGCAACTATTTGGTCGGATTCCGCAACTGGGATTCCGCAACTAGGATTCCGCAACTGGGATTCCGCAACTAAGGATTCCGCAACTAGGATTCCGCAACTAGGATTCCCGAAACTAGGATTCCGCAAC